CCCCTCCCCCCCCGCGGAGCCGCCCCCTCGGTCCCCGAGCCGCCCCGAGCCGCCAGCAGCAGAGCGGGGCGATGGCGTGGCTGCGCGCCGGGGACGGCGCCGGCATCGCAGCGGGGCAGGAGGGACGCCTGCTGCCGCGTGGCGAGGGCTCAATGACGGCGTGCTCATGCCCTTTGCATGTGCTTTTAAATCTCTTCTAGAACAACCTGTCACTCCTGCAGCACGTCAAAGGTAAATTTCCCCATATCCCTACCGGAGGGGATTATGTTCCCGGCAGGGGTTCGGGTTTTTTGCCACAATATGATTTAATGTGACAAGTGTAATTAGATGTGACGCGTCTTTGCAACAATTCACTACCTTGGAAAATCACAAACAAGCTTAAAATAAAACAGAATGCATAGACTCACATCTCCCTGTACATCGCAGCTGGAAAAAATAAGCACCAAGTTAAGGACTTTTCGGGGCTTCCTTTGGGAGACGGCAAAGTCATGAACATGATACTATAAATTAATTATTTAGATCCCAGCCCTGCAATGAGAGCCATCTGGCCAGATGCCTTTACCCTTACCAGAGCCCCCTTGGAGTTAATAGCACTCCATGCAGAAAGAAAGAGCTATCCACGTATATCTCTTAATGGACGGAGGCTCCACTCCCTGCCCTGAAACAGGCAGAAATAGAACAAAAATTACTCTTAGCACCTGGGTTCCTGAGCCATTTAGTTTCCTCTGGAATTAAGACAACACAGTAAAAAAAAGTGTTTTTGTGAACGTACATGGTTGTATACTGAGACCTTTGGTTCAGGCTGCTGATCGAGCTCGCGCTGCCGCTCGTCCTTCCCGGCCCCACATCTTGGTTTACACAGTGGAAAAACACCCAGACTGGGAGACTGCCTCCGAGAGAGTTACCTGCGGCTGCACCTCAGCCGTAGGGCTGAGGGCGAAAGGCTCAGACAATTCATTATGCACATCAAGATTAATTCTCATTTCCACTCTGTGGGGCCCTCCGTTACAATTCAGTGGCTGGAGTGCAGCACTGCATGAGACATTTTCATTTGCCATGGTCTTGAATTCAAGCGGATAGTCAATTCTATTTTCTCTGAGTTTCAGATGTTCAAGAGCTTCAAGTTGCAGCATTGCATAGGAGAAAGACAATCCTGTGTCTGGAAGAAGCACTGAAGGAAGCAGGCAGAGGCTTTGGAGATCCTGGAAAAACCTCAGCGTTAGCAAGAGGGGAGCATGCGGAGCGGCACGGCCGTCGGCACACCGAGGAGCCCTGCCTGCCTTTCCTGGGGAAGACACAAGAGGGAAAGAGTTAAAAGCTGTCTCCAGGCAGGAGAACAAAAACGCTATTGCACTCAACTTGCTCGCTATGCTCATCTAATTATGTTATTTAACAGGATACCCTCTCATTGATTTTAATTACTCACATAATTTGGGAAGTAATTCACAGTACATCCCTGCAGGGTGCATGAGTCTGAGTCGGGAACAATGCGCTCAAGTCTTCCTCGCTACATGAAAGGAGAAGATGGGGAGGACGAGCCTCAGCCCAGCAGGCAGGCAGGGGAACGTGACCTGGTGGTTCCTTCCCTTGGGGAAGATTTCTCCGGCAGGGCAGAGGCTCCACCAGTTTCTCCACCGGCACCGGAGACGTCAGCGAAGCCGGGATCGCACTGCAATAGAACATTATCGCACACGGGTATTGGTGCAGATCCGTTTCTGGACGGCCGTCCCTGCGCTCCCACCTGCACGGCTCCCCTGCCCCGCTGGGATTTTCAGGATTCCTCTTGCAGCGGGAGCCGGCGATGCCGCGGCCCCGGCCCCCAGCTGCCGCCCGCATGGGGCGGCTGAATGCGATTCAAGAAGCTTCTTGTCTCCCGCCCTCCCCGGCCCCCCTTGCAGAGCAGCTGCAGATTAATTGGCCCTTTGATATCAGTGGGCTTCTGCCAGGGACGATTCGCTCGTGTCTTGCTGATGGGGGGAGACGCTTGTCCCTTCCAGCGCGCCCAGACAGCCGCTCACTTCTTACAGCTCTCCCTCCAAACACTCCTGGAGCAAAGAGCCGCTCTTGATCCCCGAGGACCGTTAATCAAACAGTCCCCATCATTGTTGACTATTAAAAATGCTTTTAACCCCAGTCCTCCTGCAATTTTGATATATTTTTTTAAACACGGTCGCACACAGTTTAGCAAAATTGGGGTTGTGCATCCCCCAGCGTACACTTGTTTGGTTTCTTCACTGTCCTTTGTAAGTTACCGACTTAATTAGGATGCGAACAATCCCACAGGAATGTTTAATTAATATTATAAAGCAACAATGGGATGATTAAGCAAGTCTGGGCAGCTGCTATTTATACACAGGGCATGTGGCACTTGTTGGGGGTGAGCGTGTCAAGGAAAAATCATTCCACGGACTTCTCTGTACAATTTTATTGCTTGTTTTAATTGTCTGGTTCAGTCCTTTTCTCCTCTTTGTGTTCGCTCAGGCAGAGCAAGAGAAACAGAGATTTAGCTCAGAGTCTCTTGTTCAGCTTAATTATAGAGTGAAAGCTTTCAACTGAGCAGCCTCTCTCCCACCCCTTCTCCTCTTCCCCAGCCACGAGCTCTCCAGAAACAACCCAGCAGAAGCTTCACGCAACAAATGCCCTAAAACTGGTCCAGGAATAGCATCCGGGAGGCCCCTTCAAGCAGAAAAATACCCCTGAGGATAGAGGCAGGCTTTCAGGCTGAGAGAGATGGAGAGGCTTTGCCAGGAGCAGCAGCAGCCGCTTGGCTGCCCCGTGCAAGGGGCCGGGGTGGGACGGGGCAGGTCGTGGGACGGGGTACACGAGGCTGCGTGTAGCAGTGGGGTGTCTGGAGCAGCAGCCAGCACCCCCTCCCACCCTCGTGGACTTAAATGTACTCCTCACATAGTTAAGTGGTGCTCTCATTGCACAGTGGCTTCACGGCATTGGGTTTTAGGGCATTTGCTCTTCAGAAAATATTTCTTCTTTGCTTTTTGGAAGCCTGCGTGCAACCTGAAGTAATTGTGTTTGCCTTGGGCTGAACTCTTTTGCAGTTTCTAAAAATAAACACTTGATTTCTTCTACTTCCCCTAGAGCCATCTCCACTGACAGCAGCAACCAAACAAATTGATAAAAAATTAAAGGAAGTGGGAAATCCAACAGAAGCGAAGTGGGATGGCAACAGCACGCTCCCGATCCTATTAGGAACGTGCAACTCATGTAACACAGCACCAAACAAATTCACGTTCCCCAGGGGAAGACACCTGACTTCCAGAGGCAGGGACACGGCTGGTCTTGAGCCCCAGCTCCACGGGCACGTGCTGAATTTCGTGCCTCCCTCCCTGAAGCCGAGCACGTGCTGCCCCGTCCCGCCTTCGCCACGGACGAGGCAGAAGCGGCTGCGGCTCCGCTGGCACAACCGGATCCGCCGCGACCCCGACGGCCGCG